CTGGGAATTGAAGTAGGCTATAGTTCTTAAAAGCATCTCAGCTACAATTTTCTTGGGCTGCAACAGATGAGTCCTCTTCAAAATGACTTTTCAGTGTGTCTCCTAAGAAAAATGGGGCCTTAGTTTTAGCTTTATAATCAGTGGTGTCGATTTCAAGTGAGTTGGGGGGGGGGGGAAGTGCCAGGGAATCAGTAGCCCAGTTCCAATTGCAGTCATTTTTAGGGGGCTTTTATACTGAAACCCATCCCTAAGGCATGCATCTTTTGTGCCAGCTGGAACAGAAATCCTAGAAAACTATTGCTAGAAAAAGGAGCCAACCTCAGTCGCGCTCATTTTCCAGAAAAGGTGATTTTGAACCTGGAAAGCAGACCCTGAGCTTTCCAGAGCAGCTCCCCAAAGTCCAGAGGGAGGCCCCTCTCCTTATGCCTTCGGAGACACGATGATTTCCCCAAGACAGAAATAGGGCAGAGCGCTCCTACCACCAGCTTCCTTTGGTGCCCTCTGGCCCGACCTCAGCCTGGCCTTTCAGGGTGCCCTCTCACCAATGACAACGCCTTGGGCGACTACTTTTTCTTTTCAACTGGCCAGCTCAAACCCACCCATTTTTCTTTCTTCCTGAATTTGTAGAAAAAGACGTCCCCCTCCATTCCTTCTCCTTGCACCAGCCAAAGTTCTCCTGGGTCTTTTCCAGTTCCTCCTGTGCTCAGTGGCCCTCACAAGCTCCTTGCGCTGGGGTGATGCCTGGGGGCTATGCGTGTGCTGGTGTGTTTCTCATGGTAGCAGGCCCTTTGATGTCTGGTGAGGACTCCGTCCCATTAGGCGATAGCTCTGGGGAGGGGGCAACAGGCAGAACGGATTTGTACAAAGTGGTATAAAGGAGGCCATCCATCCATCTCCCATGTGCTTATTTTCTAAGCAGGTGAGTTTCTCAAATATTTAAACGAATGTCCTTTCCCGCCACCCCCAAGGTTTCAAGAGTATAACAGCAGATCCCAATGGAGTTGAGGACATTTCCCCTCACTTCCTCGTGAATGGAGGCTTCATTTCCTGTTTTTTAACATTCTTTTCCCGAGCTCTTGCTTGAGCCGAACCTATGGAATGGCTTTATAACCCTGCTCTGGAGGTTTGTCCATTCATAAGCTTTTGCTGTGCTTCCTAGCTCCCTTAACCCATTTCTCCTACCTAGCAGACTTGGGCTGGTTTAACAGAAAACCAAGCCTAAGAGCACTTAGTACTTGGATGGGACACCACCCAGAAATTCTCGGGCTGTAGGTTAGACAAGGAAATTGAAAACACATTCTGACAGACTGCTTCTGTACCTTTGCTAAGAATACTCCATGGACCTGTCCATGAAGTTAATAGGCGCCAAACGCAAAGGAGATTTTATGTATGCATGGGAAAAATATGTTGCTTATAGTAAGGAATTAGCTTAAATTGGTTTCTTGTTACCAATTCCCTGAATTGTTTATCATGAAGGGCAGACGGTGTCCTGATTAGTGAGATATATGGTCTGGGTTAATTCATATCAGGTCTAACATTATGAGACCCTGACAGGCGGAGGTGCCTGTCTTTTGAATTTCCCCGCGAAGAAAGAGCTGGAAATAAGTAACCGACTTCTTCTTTAAAACAGGCAGATGGCAAGGTTAAGGTACCCCCGTTGCACAGCATGTCTGCCTGTAGACCACCACCCCGTCTCCTGTCAAAGAAAAGAAATGCCACGAGGCCCTCGGAGCGCCTTGGCGACAGAAGAAGCCTTGGAAAGCCTCCCTTAGATTCATTAACGAATATTGACCAAACCCCACCCGAAGTATCGGAGCGAAACTCTCTCGCCTTTTCATATTCTGGGCTAGCGGGGTCAATCACCTGTTCGATTAGCTGGGAAACCCTCTCCTCCTTCGGAAGAGGCTTCCGATACCCAGGTGCGAAGTCTCCACTTTCTCCTCCTCTTCCTCTCCCCACCCCAGGGATCTATGAATGCAAAGACAAGCGGGAGGAGGTGAAATCCGAAGATGAGGACGGCCAGACTAAACTGAAACAGCGGAGGAGCAGAACGAATTTCACCCTGGAACAGCTGAACGAGCTAGAGAGGCTGTTCGACGAGACGCACTATCCGGATGCCTTCATGAGGGAAGAGCTGAGCCAAAGGCTTGGGCTGTCTGAAGCTAGGGTGCAGGTAAGGAGGAAGAGACGTCGTCGGCCCTCGTTCTGGACCTTTAGTGCAGAGACCGGTTTCCGGGACGAACAACACTAGGACACGTGCCGTGGCAGCGGGGGAGATGTGCGTGTGTGTGTGTGTGTGGGGGGGGGCGGATTCTAGCCTGGGCTGCTGCGCTCCGTTTCTTGCCCCTTCGGAGCCTTTCGTCTCCACCGAACGCTCGGGGTCTCCTCGGTCCCACTTCTAACCAATCAGGTGCTTGATTTAGTAGACCCCGCAGGAGCAAGAGAACCTTTTGCTTTTCTCTTTTGTTTTTCTTGCGCTCTGTTGCGGGGCGGGGCGGGGACAATGGGCACGGAGAAAGCTGGGTGCTTTGGGAGTAGATAATCCAGAGCCGGGGGGAAATGTGTCTCTATTTGACTTGCATAACAAGAGCATGAATTCATAGGGCCCCATCTGCTCTTCCCTCCCCAATGCCCCTTAAAATGTAACGTTTCCAAATCCTTAAGAATAGGCTTGAATTATGCACTGATAATTCGCCAAGGCATCTGTGACCTGTGTCCTGATATTCCTCCCTCCCTCCATCTCTGGAGTTGCCATATCAGGGCAGTAGAAATCCGGGTGACCACTAGATGGCAGCAAAAAGATACAAATAACTGTAATTACTTATCAGTTACTATTAGTTAGCTGGACTTTTGTTTCTGAAACTGTTAACCCAATGGTTTTATATAGAATCCTCTTCTGAAGTAGAGGATGAACAAAGCACCACCCAAGCTAAAGGAATGCCAGTGTTAGGAACCTCGGCCCATTCATTCAGGTACTATGTAAAGAAAGGAGTTTTGATAAAATCACCTGTGGAGTTACAGCACAAGGTTTTAAAGTCAAAGACACGTAAAGAAAAATCATGCCTGGCAAGTTCTTACTACGCTTTCACAAAACCAATTTTCTTCATGTATTTTGTGAGGTGAGGGAGGAAGAGAAACTCAGAAACTCCACCCTGAGGAGAAACTCAGCAGGATGCTCTGGTTTCAAACTCTCCTTAGTTTCCATCAGATCAACTTGCTCCTTGTGGATTTAATATTATTGTGCGTGTTCTAAACTAATGACTAGATTTGGATCTCTAGAGATGCCCATATAGTCCTGAGGAAAAAAAGAGTGTTGTTTAGATGGTAAAATAATAATTTTTTTGTAATTTTCCCCCTCCAAATAAATGGGATACTTTTAAAAAAAATTTTAAGCCAAGTAATGGAATATTTCATGTAGATTTGCTGGTTTTGGAAAAGAAACAGTGGTAGGGAAAATGATCAAAAAGGTTGCAGTGGCTCCAGTTCTCTTCCCCTCCCGCCCCCCACTATTGATCCAATAGCTTAAACTAAATGAATGAAGAGATTAAACTTTGGCTGAAGGGGACATCAACTTTTATGCCATCTTTTCCAGCTCTTTACAAGAGAAAGGCTCCTATAATATTCTTGGGAGTGCTTTGATATAACGTTTCCATTAAAATAAATTACTTGTAGCCTTTCTATAAAAAATAAATTACTTGTAATCACATTCTGCAGTCCTTCTTTAAAGCAGTTTATTACTGTGGTTAGTCCAGCATCCTAACAGGATATTCATAGTTACAGGAAAATTGGCATTCCAAGTGTTTGCAGGTTTTTGAAATATTACTTCCCGCTCCCTTTAACTGCCCCCCCCCGGCAAAATTGCCCTGTCTTTCACATGAATCCCATAAAAGCTGCACACTCAGAAAGAGCTTAGCCTGAAAGAAAGAAAAGAAATATTGAAAAGAGAATGGGCCACTGAGAAAACCGTTTTAGAGACAGCCCTTAATTAAAACATAAACAGGGTTTGATGTGCTGGATAGGACTGGATCGAGGTCTTATTCATGTTTGGTAAAAGAAAGGAAGGAATGGAAGAGGCTACATGGACACCCCCCTACTTCAAAATAGATATTTTAGTACTTCCAGAATTGCCTTCTAATCCCAGTCAATAGCGCCTGTCCCTTGTTGTTAAAGGATCTAGTTTCAATTTAGTGTGGAAATGTGCTGCAAATAAATTGGAGCTCCTACGGTAGCTACTCCTTATTAACCTTTTATTTTTAGTGTTGTACCGGCAACTCATATCGCCCAGCTGTCAGTGTTATAATTGAAAGTTATGAGACCGTAGTGAGGGGTAGGCAGTAATTCAATTACGAGCAAATATCTTTGGGTTTTATGGCGCAGGGCTAAATTAAATGTCATTATTCACTGTCTCTAATGGAAATCAAAAGGAAATCAGATTAGAGCATTTGTGAAAGAAATCACTGAGTGATCCTTAATGAAGAAATAACTGTCTAAAACACTGTCCTGCGCTTTACTTAGCATATTCATGACTAGTTGGAATTGATCGGGAATCACACCGGGGCTGATTTATGAAGGCTTGGCGTTTGGGCTAATTCATCACTTCCATGCCTCCTCCTCACTTTCTCCTTCGCCTCTTCCAGAGCTGAAAAGGGAAGGGGCGTTCTGCCGTTGTGAGCTCGGCAGAGCCCCTGGGCCTAAGCAAATGGGGCCAAGGGCAAGAGCAGGGCTCGGCCAGGGGGCCCAAGAGGGCTGGGGTTATGCTACAGAAGACCCATCGCTCTAGAGATTCCCCCCTTGCCAGAGGAACCATCTTTGTGAGTGGGGTCGGGCCTCTAACCCAAAGCAGCGAAAGGCAGGTTGATCTGGGATGTATAGAAAGAAGGACCCGCATCATTTCCATGTGCTGGTCAGCTCAAACCTCTAGAATTTAGCTATTTTTCCTCTTTGGTCAAGGAACCCAAAGGATCCCCTTTCCCAACATTTTAAATGCACATCCACCTATTTTTTTTTTTAATCGTGAAAGCAAATTAGAGAGTCCGTCAACAGTTGCCGATTAATTGACCTGGCTTTATAAGATCAAGATTTTATCTTGATTGATATTATCACTTATTTTTATGTCAAAGCTGTTGATGATGATGATGATTGTGGTTGAAGTTTTCATTTCAAGGGAGAGTTCGTTTTGCTCTCGGTCAAAACAAAATCTAGTTAAATCCGAAACACTCGGTCTGAAATTGATTAAAGCTGTTAGTCTCAAGACACGCCTACGAGAAACCCAGTTGCATTGAAATCGATGGCATTCCTTCCCAACGGAGGGGGTGGGACGATGGTTCAGAGTCGACTCGAAATGTTAGTTTGTTTGACGTCGCAAGGACAGGAGTCGTCTCTATCCCGGGAAGAACATTTCGGGAGCCTCTTCTCAAGGGACGCCGGAGACGGTGGTGCTGACTTTTAGGCAGGCAGAGTAGGGAAAACAGTGAAGAACAAAAAATCTTCTGTTTAAAAAGTTTCAGGATCGCTCAGAGATTTTTTTTTTTCCTTTCTTTTTTTAATTCTGCCACTCAGTACATTAATTCAAGGTCTCGCGTACTGGCGACTGGGGGTGTGGTGGGGGAAGGGGGAGAATATCCCACGTGCTCCAGTGTAAAGACGGCCAATTCCTGTTTAAGAAACCCATTCCAGTACCTCTGGATAATTAATGTCTTTGGAAGCCTTTCTTTGCACTAATTACTCCGTTGTAAATGGCCATCATTAAGGCAATTGAAGAAAGCTTGGAGGCGAAATGTGATGTAGGAAGTGCAGTTAGTATTAATTAAGCGTATGATCAACTTGGCAAGCGGAAGGCCTCGGCAGGGGGTGGGGCCAAGGGCCACAGTCTCAAGTCTTAGATTCGATCTGTCTCCATCACAGGCAGTGGCTGGCTGGCTAGGGGAGCAAAGGGAGGGCCTCGCAGTGAGGCTGCAACCTTTCATACCGGGTTGGAAACATTTTGCACAAGGAATAAACTCCTTGGCTATTGAGATGCAACAACAGCCTCAGCTTCACAAGAAGGCATTTCCAGAAAGGAGGGGGGGGGGAGGGGAGATTTTCTGGATTGCAGCAATTTTAAAATAAAATACAATGAATCAGTTGGGATAGCAGGATTAATATTAATCTGGAAAAGCATGCCTGTTTCAACAGCCAGAAAGAATGTCAAACAGACAGTTACATCTTACCCACCTGATATGGACTGATTGTGGATTTAGCCTCAGTTCTTCAACCCCATTAAAGCAGAAGTTTAAGGACCCAATTGAAAACCAACTGGATGGAATTTTTTCCCTAGTGCCTCGCAGTGACTGTGTTTGCATCACAACCAGAATTGCATCTTTGCTAACCACAACATTTGTGAGTGATGTGAACTCAGTCAGTTTGAGGACTTTATGGTTCAGTGGGTTGTAAAAAGGTAGGCTTCCTCAAGTCCAGTTCCTCTCCTGGCAACCACTTGGACATGGCTATGTAGTTTTCTTGGCAATGGTATGGAAATGCTTCATCTTTGTGTTCTTCTGAAATGTTTTTTGTAACTTCCTACTGCTGTGCGATTTTCAGTGCTCTCCCATCTAAATACAGTACTAACCAGGTACCACCTGGCTTAGCTTTTTCCTGATCAGCCAAGGTTACCTAGGTGCTGCCACCTAGCTGTGGGAATGTGTGTCGGAATCCCAAAATCTTAGTTGAGAGAAAACATGATCCAGTGAATCATGGGTAAGCATGTCCAAAGAAGATAACTAAAGTGTTGCAATTCCAATTAGTTTTTAGGTAGGTGAATGTGATATTCAGAATTGAATTCATACTCAGTAATTGCAATCTCAAGTTTCTTCAGATTTTGTGTGTGTGTGTGTGTCTCCAAGTCAATGTTGACTCCCGGCGATTGGACAAATCCTTGCATTTTTCCTGGCAAGATTTTCAGAAGTGGTTTGCCATTGCCTCCTTCTTAGGGCTGAGAGAGAGTGACTGGCCCAAGGTCTCCCAGCTGGCTTCATGCCTAAGGCAGGACTAGAACTCACGGTCTCCTGGGTTCTAGCCTGGCACCTTAACCACTACACCAAACTGGCTGTCCAGAAATAAGTCCCTCAAGTACCTCTGTGTATGTTAGGAAGAAGATTCACACCTCAAAAACTACCTTGGCCTTTAAATCAGCCT